ACTGGGAGCTCGCCAAAGCACTTGGCATATACACAAACCTACTCATGCCCCCGCCTTGGACACACCACCCCAGGGAACCTCACACTGAACTCCAAGTCTACGACCACGAGCTGGAGTGGACGGTACTGACCGGAGACTCAGCCGCCATATGCAAGAAGATCTCCCAGTCACCGCCAGGCTTCCGTGACCTACCTGCACAGGTGGTCCGTCTCGTCATACGCTTTGCCCTCATCGACGTATTGGCGTATCTCGAGGCCAACCGACCCGACCTCTTCAAGGCCTTTGACGGGCCAACACTGCCGACTAAGGCATCTGCATACTACCCCCGCACCGATGTGCTCGACTACTGGAAGCAGAGCGCATGGTTCAGGGAGAACCACATATACGACGCGGAAGCGGTCGACATCGCCTCCAAGAACGGGCACGTCCGCATCCTCGACTGGTGGTGGAGGAAATCCGGCTTCTCACTCCGCTACACCGAGACGGCACTGGAACAGGCCAGCGCCAACGGCCACCTCCTCGTCCTCGAGTGGTGGCGCGACGCCGCCGCCCAAGACGAGAAGGTGGTCCTCCGCCCCGGCCGCTCCCTCCTCTCGGCCACGCAGTACGGCCAGGTCGACGTCCTGCGCTGGTGGGACGCGTCCGGGATCCCCGTCGCGCACGGCGACGGCGTGGCCAAGGTGGCCAGCCGCTGGGGCCAGGTGGAGGCCCTGGAGACGTGGCGGCGGCTCAAGGGCAGCAGCAAGCTCGTCTTCGACTCGGAGGTGCTCATCGCGCCGACGGTGCACCAGCACGTGGACGTGCTGGAGTGGTGGCGCCAGTTCGCGCACGGCGAGCTGGAGGAGATGGAGGGCCGCAGGCAGCCGGTCGAGTTCCGGACGTGCAACATCGAGGAGGCCCTGGAGGACAGCATCGGCGACCAGAACAGGGTGCGCAGGTGGTGGGCGCAGAACGGGCTGAACCTGGGGCTGAGGAACGAGGAATGGATGAAGACAAGGTATCTATAGCGGGAAATCTGTTAAGGGGACTGATCTACGGGTGTCTCTCCACCCTTCATTTTGCACATGGCTTTTCTCTGGCCCCCTTGGCTGGATATCACACTTTAAGCACATTACGATATGGAGTTTGCATTGCTCTTGGGCTGGGGGGAGGGAAATCATTGGTGGGGCGAAGCCATCAGGGCGTGAGAGGAGTTTCCAAAACTTGGCAGAGAGATTGCTGAAATGACGATGATGATAATGATGGATTACGAAAGTAGCATAGTATGTATGGAAGTAATGATGATCACTGCAAAGGAAAAGAAAATCCGCAAAAGCAAAACTCGCCGAATTGGCAATCATAGCCCTGCTGATCGGCCGGAATGGCTCCATGGAAGGCTGAGAGAACATTGTTGAGTGTTGATCGGATCAGCCGCTTGCCAGGGGTGCGCACGCCGGGGGCAATTATGTTGAAATTGAGTCTCCATCTGACCGCTAGCACCGCCTACCGTTCACACATGCATACGTCTAGTTGACGTGTGTCGGTTCGCGCCAAATGTCAGTGTCAGATGCCAATGTCAGATGCCAGTGCCAATGCCGAGTTACTAAACCCGCCGCGGAACGATTCAATTACATCCTGCTTGCCCAAAGGGATGGAGCGGGATTGATCTAAGGCGGCGCTATTTGGCCGATGGATCTGGGCTTGTCTTGTGCTATCTCAACAGCCTCCAGCTATTGTTTTCTGGTGGAATGGATAGAAATGCCGTAACCGGTTATGGCCGGCTACTGAACTTTTTTTCTCGCTCACTTGAGCCGAAGGAGAAAATGAAGGGGAAAGCGAGCCTTTCCGTATATAAAACCTATCCTGTTCCAGTTGGTTCAGGAGCACTAGCCACCGCTCCAACAAGGAGAACCCTCGTAGGTTTTGGGGTTTTCTCCAGCACACGGGAGAGGTGACGAGCAAGAGTGGAGATTGGCAGGTCACTCTGCCTGCTTACACGGACAGTCGCACAAAGCACACGGTCCCTACAGAAGTTCACAGAATCGCGTTTTGCCTCTTCTCGAAGGGCGGTATCTTGAGCCAGAACGAGGCAGAATGGCATCGTGAACCCGCAGCACTGCAGCTCATCTTGTTGCAGGCATTGTGCTGGTTAGCTCGTTGACGGCAGAACTGGCTAGCTTCAGCAGCCAACGGAAAATAGAAGTCACCTAACTACACCAAGAGCAAGCGCACAGTAGTTGTGCTCTAGCAATTCTGGGTAAGCACTTGGCGCGCTTTTCGGCGAGGAGGTGGCGCAAACCAAGTTTTTGCGACGGGCACCGTTGCGACGGGTTGCTAGCAATCCGCCCACACGTGGATTGGGATAGCACCCCGCCAGTGAAAAGGCGGGTGAGATGGCGAGGTGGCATCCAATGACGAGAAGCAGTGAGATGCAACGGATGCAGATGTAGACGCAGATGCACACCGCCCCATATGGAGGCTGGTAACCGTTGGTTGCGACCTGTCTCGGTGGCCGCGCCGCCAAGGGACACGGCCTGGGCGTCACCTGTCCCCTTCGTATTTCCACATTGAATGGAGGCTGGCCACAAAGACGGTTTAATGCATCAAAACAAGGCCGAGTGGGAGACACGGAGGCTAGGGAGTGGCTACGGGTGAATTAGTTGGCCGCGATGCCAGATGCCAGAATGAGGGGTGGTAGCAACAGGAATACATAAGCAGTAAAAGGATGGCACCATTTGGCAGGTAAGATTTGATGCCAGCGCAAGTGAGCTCTCGAATTTGCCTCGCTCAAAATGCGTCGATATTGTATGCAGCATTGCGGAGGTGGTGTGGTAGCTGTTGGTCGACGTGTGGCAGCTGTTGGCACAGGTGTGGCGACGAACCAGACAGCAAGCCTCCGGATGCATGAATTGGCAGGGATAAAGACGACAAGAAGGGCCACCGCTGGCCGTCAGCCACACCAGATTCGGACAGCCAGTGGCCCAGAGCGTACGGTGTGGTGTGGTCTGTGTTCTTCCTCCAGGATCTGCACTTCGGTCTCCTGGTGGTTCCATCATCCACGCATTCGCCTGGCTTGCCAAGAGACCGGTTGCAAGGGTGTGTTGCCTAACGTCGGTCTCGTCTGGTGACGCGAGCTGAGGAGATGAACTTGTCTCCAGCTGCTGCACCTGCTGCATGTATCCCAATCACGAGAGAGCTGGCACCGGTCCTTGCGGCGTTGTGCGGATTAGATCCATATAATTGCATTCTGACGGCACCGGTGCAAGCAGGCAGATGAAGGGATTCGTGAAGCAGATCAGGTTCGCTCCCCAACTCGTACGGTAGCATCCCGCGTCCGCCCGCACCCCATCCCCTCAGACCTCTGGCGCGCACGTACATTAGGCCATTCTCAAAGAGAGGCCAGTATGGAGCAGGTGGTCCAGTTGTAGAACCCAGAAGAACTTGGGAAGCTCCTTGTCGGCATGGCGTCCCAGCATGGTCCCGGGGGCGGCCAGATGTGAGCGGTGATGCAGCGCAGCGCTCCCATGATTCGTGATCCGATCTGCAAATCTGCGAGTCAATGCACCTTGGCTGGTGGCTTTCTAGCGTTTTTAGCTCTGGGTTGGCACACTAGCGGCCCAGCATGAGGACGGTCGGCCATACAGCGCACTTGGGCCGCGTTGATTGATGTGTCGTGACTGACTCTCGACGTTTCCATGCCCAGCTTCCAGTCTGCCCACGATGGGCGGTCATGCCACGCTCTCCAAGGCGTTGCAGGGACCTCCTCGTCAACGGCCCCTTTCCCTCGATTCAGGCCCCCGGTCATCCGGAGCATGAAACTACCCAGGGCAATCTATCTACGACGGCTTGAACTATAAACGGCGATCAAGTCACAGCAATGGGTGGTATTGGGATGCAATTGTGAACTGGGGCCAGGTGCCGTCAGTGGCTGGCCGTGCTTTGTCATTCTCGCCTGCAGGGCTCCGGGCAGCACAGGGCAGGTTACAGGTCACCCAGCTTTCTTCTCCCTGGTACCTGGGCTAGGAGAGCCGAGAGCCCCGCGGCTTTATGTGCGCCTCCCTACCGCTAGGCCCCATGGCAGGAAATGGCCATGTCCACCGACCGACCGACCGACCGACCTAGAGGCACGACCTGAACCTTGCCCGCCTACCGTCGTACCCAGGCAAGCCAGGCTGCCAGGTCCCATGGGAAAGGTACTCCTACTCCCCCGTCCTGCTACTCGTTAGTACCAGCCGCTATTAGGGCCCTAGGTGATCTGGAGGTGACCTAAGAGCAGGCCATTTATCCATGAAATTAATGTAATGTACCTCCTGTGGGGACCCGGCACCGCACGCACCGCAACAGTTATCCGCCAGAAATAGCAAGTCGTCCAAGCCGGACCACTGATCCCTTGCTCCTGGCTGATCCCCTGCGTAACGCCTTAGCCTTGACCTGAGCTTAGTGCTGGCCGTCGTTCATTAATTTAGTAGTAGATTTATTAGCCAGGAACAAAATAATCATGCCTTCACAACTTGCGCCGTTTGGTCTTGCATTTCTTTCTTTTCTTTTTCCTCATCTCCCACGACCGAACACTCTTGGAGCTCTAGACAACGACTTCCCCTCCCAAGGGGTGACGGATTACGTGCATACAGCTCACTGACTTTCGCTCTGCCTAAGCCGCATTGAACCTCGTCTCTTTCAGGTGTCTGCAGGCGTGTGGGACCCTTTTTCTCTGCGTCGCTCGCCTCTCTCGACTGCACCGCAAACGGGCTCCTCTGGACGCCGCCACCCCTCTCGGCCGATTGCAGGGCACCGCGCGCGAGCTCGACCTGCCACCAACCTCTCCTCGCCTGGTTTCTCTCCTTCGCTTCGGCCTGGATTTCGACCATTGGACAACTGGGATTCCATATGCCGTACGTGCGGGCTCGGTCTGGTGAGGACTTCCTCGGTGCAAGGTAGCAGCAGGTGCTGGGCAATTGCGTCCTCTGGTGCCCACTATTTCCATCTCGCCTCCAGCAGCGGCACCTTCAGTCGCAGCTGCCATGGCCAAATTCTCGTTTCCCATCCCCGGGCGTAGCAAGAAATCGCCCGCTACGCCGACACCTTCGGAACCCATGACCAAGGCGCACAAGATCCTGGGATCAACAAATATCAGCATTGACAATGTGTCGAGCACCAACCTCGCCCACTCGCCCGCCGAAGGCAAACCACCCCGCGGCGTCATTGGAGGAGGTCGGATGAATGCAGCAGGCGCCGAAGCTCTGCTGAAGGAACTAGAACGGGAATGGTCCGAGGAGTCGGACATCGCACCTCGTTATTTGGGTGTTGACGATGATCGTCTCCACGTTTCAGACCCTGGGGTTTCAGATCCCATTGCCTTGTTGCGCCAGCAGAACTCCTCCTCGACCATCCGGTCATGGTACGACAGGTCCAAAATGCCTCTGGCAATCTCGCAACAGACCTCGGCATCCGCCATGGCCAAGGGACTACCTACAAAAGCGGAGCGGGTCCTTGACATGGACAATGCTCTTGCCATGGCCAAGAACAAGAAGAAACCAGCAAAGTTGGACCTAAGTCGATTAAAACCAATGGGCCGTGTCAGGAAAGTATCTGAATTGGAGGAATCGGCGGGAAATGGCGACGTCAAACGGTCCTCCTCTGTTCTATCACCACGCATTCTCCATCGCCGTCCCACGTATGAGCATATGAGGCGGCCTGCCTCTCCCGAGCCTGTCCGCCCTACGACCGGTGGACCGACGAGACCCCGACATCCTCACAAAGAACATATGGACGAGCTGCCCAACCTGTACAAGCACTACGAGCAGATGTCCTTCGCCCAGGTTCTGGGCGACAAGGTCGAACCCTCCGAGCAACAACGGTCTGCATCGAGGAACGATAAACCCGACGGAGTTCTGGCTGAGCTGCCAGGCGATACAACGTATGCCAGTTATAGATCACGTCAGGGGAAGAAGAAGGAAAGCGCCGATCAGGGCCCTGCCGCCAAACCCGCCTCCCCCGTCATCGAACACAGCCATTTCACCCAAATTGTTCGGGCTCCAACGCCAACCAAGGCCGAGGAGCAAGCATCACCGACGTCCTACGCCGCAAGTGTGTCTAGTCGCCATACTCGGACCTCAAAGGCGTCAAAACGCACCGAAACAAGTTTCCAGATGGCCGACCTGCAGGAGAAGAGTGTTTTGATGCTATCATCTGATTCGGAGGAGGATGAGGAGGATCTATTTGCCGCATCGCCGGCCAGAAGGCGTAACCAATCTTCACCAACTTCGGTACGGCCTCTCTCGACCAATTCGAACAGCATTTCCTCCTCATTCGAAGGACGGGCCGAGGGACCCTCCTCCAGGGAGGTCCATGATCCCGCAGCGCGCCAATCCAATTCTACTGTGAAGAAGCTGAGCACCACGTCGGAGGATCTCCTCAACATCCCGGCCAATGCACTGGGCAAAACCTCAACTCTGCTCTCGCCGTCAAATAGCTCACTTGGAAGTTCTCATTGGGGCGCCACATTCCACTTACCCGCAACACCATCGACGTTATCGCTTGCATCCGAGGCCACCACGGCTCCCATGAGGGTGTGGCATGAATCGACGAGCGGGTCTGAACTGTTTGACTCCCAGTCTCTGGCGACTCAGGCTCCATCCACTTTAGCGAGCCGAGAGTCTCAGCAAGACTGGAACAACCGTTCATATTTTGACAGTCGATACTCGGGAACAACCTCGGGACGTGGTTCTAGTAGGCCTTCTGTACGTCCTCAATCCTCACAACCAACACCTCCCTTAAGCCCTTCGTCGATGGACTTCTTCATCCAATCAGCCCGATCGTCGATAGACGCTAGAGCCTCAACCAACGAGCCGATGATAAACCTCACTCGCCAAGAGCAGCTTCTCATCACTGCACTGAGGCAGCGTCGCGAGGATATGCGGAAAGCTAGTGATCGTGGACAGGATAGCCGCCATCAGTCCAGACCATCAGAGGCCACCATTACTGATCAGTCATTTCAGTCTGATTTCCGACGCTCCACAGCTGGTAGCAGTGCTCGTCTCTCAAGTTTGAGGGCAAGCGGCTCCATTGCTTCTTCTCTCAACCTCCCCATATCGGGTGTCAGAGAGGGCGAGTATGGTGACAACGACTCAACATTTACCTCCGACAGTCCCGTCTTCCTCCTCTCTCCACCGCCCCCTTCGCGACATAAGCCTATCACGATCCCCCAACGGCTGAGCCGGCTCGATTCTGAAAGGATGACGCCTGCAGACGATCACATGGTCATGTACTTGGACAGCCCTGCTGGACCAGCCCTGGCCATCAGTGAAGGTGCTATGAGCCCCGAGGCGCCTGGATTCGAGGACTCTTTTTCATCAATGACCGATCGCTTCCCAAGCAGCCCACACTCCTCCTCGGCTAGCCGACAAAGCAAGCGAGAGTCTTCTATGCAGCGACAGGTTAGCGTCAAGGTTGGCAATAGTGAAAAGAAGTGGCCGGCGATCTCTCCCCTGCTCCCGCCTCAGCGTGAGCTTCCCCCGATCCCTAAGAAGCGCAGGCCAATTTCAACCGAGGATGAGGATAGGGGTGCTGGGATTCCTCGACCTGACAGCCCTGTTGACTGCCCGATCTCGCCCATGGCAAAACAGTTCCCTGAGGTTCCAAAGGACAGGCAGACGGCGAAGAACCAAGCCGCCCGACTCAGTGCCTTTGGACCACCTAGCCCGATCCAAGGCGGAGTCGCATGGTGGGGTGACGAAGACTAAAACTCTTCCACACACTTATCTTGATACCAAAAATTTACACCATCAACATAGAAAGAAACAGGAACAGAATCCTTGTTATATTTTGCATTACGCGACAGGCGACGATGAGGCTGGAAATGCCTCGATTTTGATTTTTTTTTCACACATTTATTTTCTTGGTGGTTTACGGGAGACGATTCTATGAGCGAGCAATATATTTTGCCATTTTAATCAATGCATGGGGGAAGAGGTTTTCTCAACGAATAGACTTCTTTTGTCGTACCCATCCCCATTCTCTTCTTTTCTACTTCCCTTCTGAGGGGAAGCGGGGAGGGTATTCTTTTTTTCCTACCTGTATCCTTATTTATGATTCCCACATTGCGACACATGGCTATTTCTTTTGTCTACTAACATCATCTTACATGATATGATATTCCTGGATGGCTTGGGCGCTTTTTGGATCCCCTGTTTCGAGATCACAAGGAGATGTGGGAGGGAGATGTCCATAAAGTTCACGATAAGCCCGTTTGATTTTGTTGAATACATCATGGGAAACTGGGCAAAACGGTCCAAGTCCCCGGCGTTTCTCATTAATACTGCTCCCCTTCCCGGCTCAAGTTATGCATCTTGCCTCGGCAGCGAATTTAAGCATTGTGATTAGACGCTATATTCCGCTTCCAAATTTAGGCATAGGTTGAGCCCTCGGGTGGCTGTGGGAGCTTCTTGTTTGCTGGAGCGGCCATGTACCTATAGGAACAATATAATTCAGTACTCGTCACATCGCGTTGCCATCTGTTGTTCCACAGAAACTCGTAGAATAGGGCTTTCCATGAGATAACCATACCTCCGTAATTCAATGAGAACAGTCTCCATGGTATTCTCCCGCTTCCACTGAGCAAGGCAGGGAAGCTGGCTTGGGTCGACGATACCATTGCGCGGGTTGACACAGGGCAGGTTCACCTGGCTCAGAAACTGGATCGTGGGGGGCTCGTCGGGGTACTTTTCGCCGCAGTGCATCTTGACACTATAGATACGGTTCTCGTGAACGGACTAGATTTTGTGCATCTCGCGGTTAGCTAAACTGTTTGCGACAAAATGTAACAACCTGAAAGCCAAAACACCCCCCCAACCCGTTATCGGCCCAAAGGTGCGTGGTTGTTGGAGAGCAGCGCTCGGGTGGGAAATCTCACGTGGGGGGGGCCGAGGATGGTGCCGTTCCAGTTGCTCATGAGCAGGTCCTCGGAATCCTCCAGCCCATAGCTGCAGGCTTCCGCGCCGAGGCCCTTTTCTCCCTTCTCGAGCTCCTCGAGGAGGCGAAAGTTGCGGGGGACTTTGGCCATGGCTGCTGCAAAAAGGTCTCGGAAACTCGGTCGGGTGGCGGGAGCTGGAGCTTTGCTGGGGATGGGAGAGTCGACGAGGCTGGAGGCGAGGGGAGGTGGGGGGGGGAGACACCGAAGGCCAAACAAAAAGTAGAGGAGGTGGGAAATGGAGAGGTGCGTGCCCGGGTTGGAGATGCAGGTGGAACGGTGAACGAGTCTGGTTTTGGGGTGTTTATTGGCGGTTAGTCAGTCAGTTGGACGCCTCGCAATGGAGGGGCAGATGGTCATGCTGGGAGGACAAGCAGCGGCTGGCTCCAGCACCACCCCGCCAAAAACCAATTTGGGGGAGCACAGACCCTTCCGTACTGACGTTGAATCACATTGCCTTCGGAAAGGAAAGTACCTTCCAGCCGGCGCGGATAATCCTCGGCATCCCGGCCGGAACCTGGAACACACACGAGCAAAGCTTCCAACTTTCTGGCTGCTTCCCCAGACTCAGCGCAGAGCCGGCAGCTGCCCTTACTCGTGGATCAACGTCATCGCCGCTCGCCTCCTCCCTCCCCCCTACCTCAACCAGACACATTTCTCAACGGCAGGCGAAGCTCCTTGCGGCCGGGGGAGCCATCACCACCATATCTCACACACACAATGGCCAGCCAATTGTCCAGAGTAGCCGCCATGCGCGCGCCTCTCCTCCGCCGGCAGCCTCACCTCCTGCTGGCCTCCCGCCTCTTCACCTCCGGCGCCAACGGGGCCTTCCTCCCCGGCGGCATCTCCGCGAGCTCCTCGGCCGGCTCCTCGGGCATCGTCGGGCCCCTCCCCACATACTTCCAGAAGCCCAGGCTACCGGCCAACACCGTCGTCCGCTTCGTGCCCCAGCAGACGGCCTGGATCGTCGAGCGCATGGGCAAGTTCAATCGCATCCTCGACCCCGGCCTGGCCATCCTCGTCCCCTTCCTGGACAGGATCGCCTACGTCAAGAGCCTGAAGGAGGTGGCTCTCGAGATCCCCAAGCAGAGCGCCATCACGGCCGACAATGTCACGCTCGAGCTTGACGGCGTGCTCTTCACCCGGGTCTTTGATGCTTACAAAGCCAGGTGAGAAACTTGAACACTCGTCTTTCCATTCGGGGGTTTAGTTACTGACAGTGAGACCACAGCTATGGTGTAGAAGACGCCGAGTACGCCATCTCCCAGCTCGCCCAGACCACGATGCGTTCCGAAATCGGTCAGCTCACCCTCGACCACGTCCTCAAGGAGCGTGCCACCCTCAACACCAACATCACAGCCGCCATCAATGACGCCGCCGAGGCGTGGGGAGTCACCTGCCTTCGGTACGAGATCCGTGATATCCACGCGCCCGGCGCCGTCGTCGAGGCCATGCACCGCCAGGTCACCGCAGAGCGCTCCAAGCGTGCCGAGATCCTCGAGTCCGAAGGTCAGCGCCAGAGCGCCATCAACATCGCCGAGGGTAAGAAGCAGAGCGTCATCCTCGCCTCCGAGGCTATGCGTGCGGAGCGCATCAACACCGCCGACGGTGAGGCCGAGGCCATCCTGCGCAAGGCCCGCGCCACCGCCGAGGGTATCGATGCCGTTGCTCAGAGCATCCTGAGCGGTAGGGAGGGCGCGCAGGGTGCCGTGAGCCTGACAGTTGCCGAGAAGTACGTCGAGGCTTTCGGTAACCTTGCCAAGGAGGGCACCGCCGTTGTTGTTCCTGGGAATGTTGGTGATATCGGCGGCATGATTGCCACGGGTCTCAGCGTCTACAGCAAGGTCGGCGAGGCTCAGGCACGCAGTATGGCCCAGAAGGCTGTCGAGTCGTCAGAGTCCAGCGAACTTGAGGGCTCCAGCCCTTCGTCGAGTCAAGTGAAGGATACTGTTATTGACAGCTTCAACCAGACTGCTGGCCGCCGGTAGCCAACAGTGACGGATGAAGAACCAACAGAATAGACTGCCACCAAAAAAAACCCTGAGGCCAAATGATCATATATGAAGAGGATGTAAAAATCAAAAAGTCGAGGGAAAGGAAAAAACCATCAAATCAAATACCTACATCAGCACCAGGGCGTTTACATGGATCCGTCTTGAACATTGTACCATAGGCTGTTTTTCGGGAACATGATCTCAACCACCAAAAAATTCTCATTTCTACTTGTTAATTCTCAAAGACCAATGGAGAGGCGGGGGTGATGATTCGGTTTGAAAGGCATGGAGGCTTCATTGTAAAGGAGATGGGAGAGGGAAGTCAGGCGCCAGAGGGATGACTACATTGTATCTACACCCCATCTATCTATCTATGTACCAGTAACGACATTTCAGCAAGTACAAGGAGTCGAATTATAGAGTTCTCCCAATTCGTAAAAACAAGATGTGATGAAGCATGGAAACCTAGCTTGCCCAGTATGATGTGTCGAGGGGTAGAATTCGGCTAGAGTCAGATTGGATGATACGCCGAGGCAGGTTTTTGACCAAACATTCCTGCTGACACCTTGTCACATTATCCCAAACTTGCGGCTACCAACTTTATCTTGTCGTCTTCCCCCTTGCCCATTGGAATTGTGTGCATCCTTAAGTGTTACCAATACCTCCCTGTCTATTAGACTGACTACTCATTCACAACTGTGCGGTGTAGAATCTACCTTTGTGTGCTGCTGTCTCAAAGATACAAATGCCTCGACAACCAGATAGGTCCGGGTGAAACAATATAAGAGAAGAAACAGAAAAAGCAGAAAGAGCAGAAAGAGCAGAAAGAGCAGAAAGACCAGAAAGATGAGAAAAAGAAATAGCACACTGCTCATACAAAAAGGCCCATTTGGACCCAATACGGCAGATCGCCAATCAACGCGATGATGAGACCTATCACCGGGGTGGGTTTCATATCCATATTATCCACCGTCTGTATCATATATAGAAGTGTTAACACGCAGATACCAAGCCCGGCAACCTGGGTCGAAGATCTCTTCTTGTCACACTTTCTGAGCTCCAAGGGATTGTCGAGCTCCAAGGGATTGTCGAGCTCCAAGGGATTGTCGAGCTCCCGGTAGAGGGCTGTCAGCATGTGAGCTTTCTCGTCTGCCACTCGAGTAGGACATTAGATGTCGAGCCGTTTGTTCCACCACAGTATGTAAACAACCAAGGCACAGATGGCATGGGCGAATTGTGTTGATCTCGAGTGCAGTCAACGGGAGGGATGTAGCCCATCTCATTACGGTTTGCATGACGAACCAGCTCGCTTGCGCGGTAAACAAGAGCTTGGTGAATGAATCCGGTTTACTCTTGTCTTTAATGTTCTCTCCCGAGATATCGGGGAGAATCCTGAGCTTTGCCGCATCATAAAACATGTCTGCAGGCATAGCTGATCGAGGAGAGCCAGGGATCTAGAGCTCTGTCAATACGTGGTCTCCTCACAGGATCAGATCCGGATACCCAAATACACATCCTCACCATCGACATCAGTATCAACGACAAAGCTGCCCATGACTGGTTACCATGCCTTAGTTCGTTATACGTCACGTTGCTTTTTGGAATAAATTCAACGTGAAGGGCTTAGAGAAGTGGCTTAGAGATAACAGAGACAGTTTATGAGCACCATCTTCAGCTTCTTGTATAACACCCATCATTTTCTCATTGATCTTCTTTAACACATTGAGCAGAAAATAGGAATAAGTGAAAAGAGCATCAGAGGATTTACAGCAGATGATGACCCAGCTAAATCAGTCAATTTGGAAAGACTCCCGTATGGTTGTGCCCACAACCGTCTCGCAAGCAAAAACCACACCAAGCTTCTCGCCTTTCTTGACTGCCAGACAGACAATCATCGTTTGCTCATTCTCCAATTTCTTGACGCTTCCCCTCCAGAACCAAACAAGACGACCATCTTCGCCTTCAATAATGAACGTTGTCCATAGGCTTTTCTTTCTCCATTGAGGAGCTTTTTCATTCTCATATCCGAGAACTATTCGCGTCATCCAGAGAGTGTCCGTGTTGGTTGGCAGCGTGTTCAACTTGCTTGTAGCTGCTCCCGGCTGGTCCTGTCCTTCTTTGAATGGCCCCAGTATGTCGATATGAATGCGCAATAACGGAAATCCCTTCAGTTTACGGACCATCTCCTGCCCAAACGGAGGGTTCCTGCTGAGCAATCGTTCAATATGATAACACTGCAGGCCTGCAAGCTGGCGAATGGTTTTGATGCCAGCATTTGCCAGCTTATCCATCTTGACGGCTCCAATGCCCTCAACCTGCAATAACTCGTTTTCATTCCCATCCCAAGCACCAGCCTTGATGCTCCTTAGCACATCCAAGCCAGCAATAACCCCTCTGCCATCCCTCCGCAGTCCAAGGATATCCACCAGGCATCGAAGCACGCGATCGAGAATGAAGAACATCCGGCCCCGCTCACTGAGAAGCTCCTTGCGAGCAGCGTGGGTCAATTTATTAGGCAGAGGGCCGCCCTGAAGCTGAATCTGTATGAGAAGAAAGGGCTTATGCCAAGGCTGCGAAACATTCTCGCGCAGAATGTATGGCACCCCCGTATGCTCGTTGATGTGGCGGAAGAAGGCCTTCTCGGCTTGCTTGATTGGAAACGCGGCAAACTCCGCGGTGGAAGAGCAGGCGGTTTCGAGGACGGTGCGTCGGTCGGGGCCATGCCCGATCTTCAAGAGCGACTGGAAGGTCTTTTGGGCAAGCTTGTATCGGTCTTGAATTTCACGAAACTCTGTCGTGGCTTCCGCTTGGTTAGCACCGGTAGAATTTTGGGCGGCTTCCTGCATTGTTGTCGCTATCTTGTCAATAGGCGTGCTGTTCTCGATTCTTTGTGACCACTACTCGAGACGACTCTTGTGCAAACAGGTCAGTTGTCAAAATGAGGAACGCTGGAAGTGGTTATTGCATGACGGTCAGGTCAGCAGTTGATTTCAGCATTGTCATCCTTTGATGTTCATCAAGGCCTCAGGAAAGCACGGAGTACCTTCCACCTTCCCGCCCAACGTTGATCCAGTACGTTCCTTCCTCGTTCTGAAGAGCTCTATCTAGCTCCTTCCCAACTTACGACCTCAATAGGCAGTGATGACGTGACACACAGTAGTGTGCCCCGGATGCTCCTTCCCAAGCTTCCAACGGTCTTACGATGGCAAGACATCTTGCCTCTTTCATCCTTTGTCAGTGCATTCACCGTCGCCGAGCTCCAAAACACCAAGTGCCGAGCAGTGGCAGTCAAATAGCCACTCCGATTGGAAAACTTCCTGGGAAGAACTACTCATCCACCTGACAAATACCATTATTTCTTTCACGGAATCAGTGCGAACTTGTGATTTTTTTGATACTCATTATATTCACGCCCACCAATAAATTAAACTAGTGGCTTCGAACTAATAGCTCAAGTACATGTATGTGTATAATCTAAGCTCTCCCAATTGGGGGAAACACGAAAGAAGCTCCTATCTACAATTCCTCCTCCAGGTTTGGGCCCAGCCCGTTTTTGGCAACAAAACCGCTTTACCAGCTGAGGGTGGCACCGGCGTCAGCGACAGCGCTGGCGACGCTGCCGCTGCCAACGAGCTCGTACTTGTAGGGGAGAGAGCTGCCGGAGATGGTGCCGACGGCAACCTCGTTGGTGGCGCCGCCGAGGTCGACATCGTTGGTGACGACGTAGCCGGTCTCGTCGGAGTCGCGGAAGACGATGGGGCTCTTGGTGTCGGAGAACGTAGTAGACTCAACGAGGACCTGGGCGCCGAGACGGGAGTTGATGGCGTTGTTGATGATGCCCTCGTACAGGGAGTTGTAGATGTGGACGGTACCGAAGCGGACAGAGGGGCCACGGGAGTTGATGTTGGACCAGTGGACGTTGGCGTAGGTGACGGTGAGGTGGCCCTTGTCCTCGCTCTCGTTGGAGTCGGAGTGGCCGACCAGGGAGGCCTTCCAGTGGTCGTGGATCTTGGAGTTGGAGATGGTGACATAGTCGGACGCGTGTGTGACGTCGAAGAGACCATCGTAGTCGTCCTTGCCGGCGCTCAGGTCACCGCTAAGGTCAACGTGGTCAACCCAGACGTTGGTGGAGGCATCGATGCCGATGGCGTCACCGTCGGAAGCCTTGACCTTGGAGATCTTGAGGTTGCGGATGATGACGTTGGAGGCCTTCTTGACGTAGATTCCGACACCCTCAAGCGAGGCGCCGCCAGAGGCACCGACAATGGTCTTGTCAGAAGAAGGGCGGACCTTTCCAGCGCCGGAGATGGTACCATCGACGACAATCACGGCAGCACCTTCGGCCTTGGCGGCGGCGCTGAAGGAAGCGAAGTCACTGACGGTGGTGGTGGTACCGCCGGCACCACCAGTTGTGCCACCGTTAGCACTGGCGAAACCGAGGCTGGCGGCCTCGGTGATGGAGGCACGCTTGGCAAGGCTACGCTTGTCGGCGCCCTTGTTGATGGTTGGGGTGGGGCTGGCAAGAGCGAGGCCGGCCAGGGCGGCAAGAGGAGCGATCTGAGAGAACTTCATGTTGACTGCTTTAACGAAAGTGGAACCGGTCCGTAAGTTAAAGATGTAAAAAGATTGTAGAATGTTTAATACACAACGAGAGACCTAGCCGGAGGTTTGGTGGGCGAGTCAAGAGCCTGTCTTGAAAGAGTGTGAGGTGATGATGAGATGGATCTGTCCAAACCAACAGTCAGAAGGCGAGCGAGATGCCTTCATATACATGTCTCGTACGTGACGCAATGGCTGGGGGTTGAAAACGAAACCCGGGCTGAAACATCACGACGACTCTTCACTCCACAGCCCACCAAGGGTTGTGTCAAGCTTGTAGGGAAACAAAATGAGATTGAGCAGGATAATACGAAGCCGGACGAAAAGCTCGCCTGAGTTGGGGCACCGGAGCCTTGCCTTCCGCCATATTCGGAGTCTGGATTGAGAGATTTCCCGTTCGGGCAATGGGGACGGGTCCACAATATAAGGGGGACGTTTCATGAAGCCAAGTCAAAATCCAAAACCCAAAACTCCGTTTCCGGAGCCGCGGAGATCAATTAACCCTAGAAGCAAGGTTCACGAGTCCTTCTGATGCAATCTTGCGCAATTGATGCCTTTCTGACGACACACTGTCAAATCAAACGCACATGCAGCTTACTAGAGTGCTGCATATGCAACTCTCCCTCGTTCATCTCCCATATGCCATATTGGTTCCACCTATCCCAACAACTGCATCTGATACTCGTCCCGCAAGCCGGCGCTAAAAAACCGGCGCTTCAAGGTTTAAGCATAGATCCATAACGTTAAGTTTCAGGTTGTCTAGGCCTCGTCATTACCAGCAACGTCGCTTTGATATCCGTATCTCGGCCACCCAGAACCCGAAAGGGTATGCCGTTCCAACCAGGGGTATGCTGTTGATTCGATCTATCTTTTTCCACAAACACTCGAACGGAGGATCTATTCGGCAAACTGGAGTGAGGATGCTCAGAGGATCATGTGTTGACGTCTAGATTTGGGTGAATCCCAAACTTCGGATTGTGTAGATGCAGTGATGCACATCCTCGTCGCTAGTTGATGAAGCCGACGCAAGCGGCTTGCATCACTCGTTGACCATGGAGCAATCCAACCTTCTAATTTGCTTCAACAATCAAGTCAGTTCAAACATCAGTCACACGCACCAGATATGAAAGACACAGAGCTGTGCTCAAACTCAAGCGGCGTCTCTCATTTCGATTATCAAACCCAGAGGGAAACATACTATTTTGCATTAGTTGCCAGGACATTAAATCACGTATCCGTCTATGTTGCTCCTATAGTCTTTTCGGAAAATCAAGGGAAACAGACAAAACGATCTCTCGTGCAGTCAACCAGGCTTTCGGTAGCTTCCATCTGGCTGGCGGGTCCCGATTATGGGCTCGAGTAGGACGGGTAGGATCTTTGCTGCATCCTGCCCAAAGGCGAAATCATTGGTCCGGAGCTTGTCCATCTCATCAAGGTCTTCAGCACGCGGGTCAATCACCGCAATGCGGGCACCATTTTTACGCGCCTTGTCAATGTAGCCTGCTGCTGGGGAAACGGTTGCGGACGTGCCTATGACAAGCATGAGATCCTAAAATGAGAAGTGTCAGCTGGCCAGGGCGAACATCAGTCAAGGGAGGCTGAGTATTGCGGTTACCAATGGGCCGGCTCGGACAAAACTGTCTGCTCTCGCAATCACGTCGAAGTCAAGAGTTTCTCCGAACCACACGACACCAGGTCGTTGAAGCCCTTGCTTGCACCGGGGGCACTTGGGTAACTCCTCTTCCGAAACATGCTGGATGCGGTGGTATGGATTTAGGAGCGGGAGCGTCTCGCCGGGGGGCGGGTCAACGGAGGCCGGCGCTAGGGCAGGACAGAATGGGTCGTCGAAGTTACCTCGCTCGACCCAGTCACACTTGTTGCACTTTATATCGAAGAGCGAGCCATGCAGAGTGTACAGGCGATCAGGTGGGTGCTGGGCCCTCTGGGAAAGATCTATAAATTGGGTTGAACAAAGTTTGCTCGTTAGATTCTCCTCTCACCCCGGACGGCAAGTATCAGATGGTAGCATACTGTCCACATTCTGTGTCAGGCACAGGAAGTCTGGCATCTCCCTGGCCAAGGCGGCCAGGGCCTTGTGAGCGTCGTTGGGCTTGGCTTTCAGACACATGTGCCGACGGTAACCGTAGAAGAGCCACACCAATCCGGGATCCATATCGAAAGCCCCCGGGGTCGCCAGCTGGGTGGCATCGAAGTTGCGCCAAAGGCCTCCCGCGCCGCGGAAGGTCGGTAAGCCCGACGATGCGGACAATCCGGCCCCACAGAGAGCAAGAATCCGGCGACTCGATCGGAGAACGGCGTGGAAAGATTCCATGTCGTTATGCGTCTCCTTCTCGTCCGTCTGACGCTCTGGATCTGCCATGGCTGGATCCTCGAGCTGGAGTGGAAGGCTGGTATCGCTGGGGCTCAGGGACCGGCCAGGGGGTGGGGTTGAGGTGTCTGTTGGTTGATCCTGGGGCAGCGCAAGGTACGAACAGGCGAGGGGGGATGATGTATCACACAGCTAGTCCACACGGAGGCGAGCGACGGAGAGAGACAACGGGGACGAGAGAAAGAAATACAAGACAGAGACGCAGGAAGGGGAAAGGGGGGCCCAGGAACAAATCGATGTGCGAAGCGAAGGAGGTCTGTGAGAGGAGAGTGAGCAGAGGAAGGTGGGTAGGGCAGAGTGGCTGCAGCTGCTTTTTCTGTTTGTCTCTGCTGCCTGCCTGCACGGCACTCACACTTAAAACGTGCACCACCCCCCAACACCCAACCAGCAGCACAATCAGTACCACCAAACACCCTCTTTAAACTTTTTTTCCTCGCCTTGCTGCCCCAAACCCACTCTTTCGAGGATCGTCAATGCCGGCTTGCAGAAACCTCTCAGCCAACTTCGCGGGGTCCATGGCCCTGCCTGGAATCCCTCCAGTCGCCCACCTCGTCCCCTCATTTCGCGATATGTCCTCGCCACCTTTCGGTTGCCAAATGGATCTGTTCCACAGAACCAGCCAGCGACTGCTACCACCCGGACTTGGAGGCCCCCGAGCACTCGACGACGGCGAGGAAGGTGGGTTTGCTCTGTCGCCTCCTCCGGGTCCACAGCCAACCCCAGAGCCAAACTGACAAGCTGGTGATACTAGTACAAAGTACGGATAGTCATCACTGTAATGCCCTTGGGATATGAAGTTGGGAGACGAACAGCTGCCCAGCTCCACCACTCCACTGCTGAACCCTGCAAGACGCATCGGCCGAATGGCCTACCTCGTACCCGGGGTTTTCTCGATTACGACGACAGAGCACGGACGGGGCCATTGGCATCGGACCATATGGACCATCCACCCGCTGGCGCCTTCGCATCCTATCCGGTTGGAATGGTGACCTCCGGGAGCGCCTTTCAGAACGTTACAGCCGGTATCGGGTGAGTAGGGCAGGCGAGGGACAATATCGTATGTTTGGCCCCGGGCTTCGTGTTCCACCGTCGCTTAGCCCGCGTTTGTCATGGAACCCGGTCTCGACCCTCAAGTGCCGCCCCGAAGTCCAAAGCCCTGTCGATCGATCATCTTGCATATTTAACTCGAGGCCACAACTGAAGTAGCCAACGCGATTCGACCGATGGTCAAAGCGAACTGGCACCCTAATTATCTGGTTATGCGCTGCCATCCAGCTTCGCTCGCCTACACCACAGCACCGTCAAGCCCCTTGGGTGCCGACGATTAGCGTCCAGGTTTGCCATCCATATACGGGGTGGGGGCAGGCGGTACGGCCAAACCTCACCCGCAGTAGGCCCTCGTATAAGGGCTTAGCCAGCTTTGGTGGAGGAGAGGTAAAGCACGCGGGGTGCGAGCTTCCACGACGATGTGCAATTCCCACCTACATGTTCTCTATCCCTGGATATCACAATCCAAGCATAAAGCTCAGAGGCCCGGAATGAGGTGCTAGCAAACTTCCCGATGCTACACATCGTGATAAGTATGATGACCCCATGTTCTCCTCGAAGCCCAGAACGTTCCGAAGGTGATTCCCTGCCACCCCACCTGCCTCACAAGGCGGACTTTGCGTGTGTCCCATTGTCACATATTCCTCGTCAGGACATGTGATATGAGATATATGCCGCCCGCTTTCGAGTGTCCGGTGTCTGTTTGGCCAGCACGCCCCTCTCATTCGGCTTTGGAACAATAGGGTGTCGTTCTGGCCAACAAAGTATGCATCAACTTCATTGAGTAGCAATAGCGAGCATTCGCGTGATCTGCAAGGGTTCCCCGCCCACCTTGCGTGGGTTTTGGGTTTCCCAATTGCATCCAGGCGGCCAAAAAATCCCATGCCCAGCGACACGCGATGGTCAGTCGCGGAATGTCCGGGATGTAGATGCATCAGAGACAATGTATTGCAGCCGGTCATCTGATGGGAACGGGAGGTCCACCCCCAGCAAGCCAGTTCCATCCGTGAATTCCACATGTGAGTCGTTCTTCTGAGTCGTTCTTCGTAGAATCAAGTGCGTAGAGCACTCTCGCATGCCATGTCAACCTTGGTCGCTTCTACCAATCAATTTATTACTGGTTTTATGGGATGTTATTGTAGCCCTCTTGTTTGGTGGACTGGTTCGTGCTCGTCGCCGCTCTTGCGGAAGATATGAATCCTAAAATGGGATACTTTGAAACGCAACTTTGCTATAATCAATCACAGATTAGCCCGAATTCTTAGCCGTTGTTCTTCAATTTTCCTTCCTAAAGATGCTAGCCCAGTTGGAGAAGCGATCTTGAGGAAAGAGATGTTTATAGTGCATCGTTCATCGCATCCGCACCGTCGGGTCTTGTGAACCCGCCGAATGCCTCCTACCTTCCTCGCCTGTGTCAGTGAAGCCTAGTAGGCGTGGCGTTTATGGCTATCGACCAAACCCGACCTCGGCTTCAATCGGTGTATCTATAGTTGAACATGATAGTGTAACAAAATGCTCGAGACTTTGCTGTCATCGTGGCTGGTCAAGGCAAGATGATCCTTCGCCCTGGTAGCAATTTGAGGATTCTCGCACCACGGAGAAACCTTGTAATCGCCAGCAGCAGCAGATATCCAAGTAGATACTACTGAACTTACCTCCAAAACCGTACAAGGAACCTACCTCTATTCTATTAAAAAATGGCCCAAGTGATCATGTCAAAGGCTGCCGAGACGTATCCCAGATCGCAGCTCCGTTCATGCGGTGTAGGGTAGGTACCGATGAAGGCATCTGGCATGCCAACGCGATTTCAACAACAACAAGCACAATACGTACTCCGCAAACAAAAAACAATACATGGCCAATACTTGTAGACCGACGACATGAATCACTAGCCCGCTCAGCCGCTCCCAGTCAAGAGAGACACAAAACAAACAGGGCGCGAGGAACGGAAAGCCTAGCCTAACCACGACCGGCGCTCGCTCTTCAGCCTCATCGCAAAACGGCGCCGGAGTTGCCCGAGGACGGGTCAAATAGCCGTTTGAAAAAGGGGTAAAAAAAGCAAACAATAACGCTTAAATCTTCCGGTCACTGTGGCTGCTTAGACAAGCCCGCTTGTTTGCTCGTTAGCTGCATGAGCCGTGGGAACTATGGCTTTGTGGCTTTGGTTAAACCTGGCTAAGGAGAAAAAAAAAAAAAAAAGCGCGGCACCGCTAGTGTCCAAACATCTCTGCCGTCTGTACGGGGTACGAAGCACATAATATTGCCTACACCCTCTGAACTTGCCTGGAAGACTTCTTTGAATGTGGCTTGAGGCGCCGGAGGAGAGTAGCCGGCGGCGGTTAGTGAGACCTACCTTGGGAATGGTAGAGGAAGTTCAGGTTTCAGATGCTTGTGATAAGTGGTTTACAGCCGCAGGATAGATTTTACTTGCCATACAGCACTTTGGGGATTGTTTGCTCAAAACTTGTGTGAATTGATGCTTGTGCCAGGCCGTCACACCTTGGTACCTTGGTCGGTGACAGGCAATCAACTGATGAGAAGGGCACGTACTACGTACCGTGGTACAACTCTGTTGCTGGCTGGTGCCGGCTTGTCAAAGCTGCCTAGTGCAAGCTCAGCCTTGAGATGAGGGTCAGTCTAAGGCTGGGCCGGATGGGATGTGGCTGAGACTATTGTTTTTGATATTGCAAACACCGGGCTGAAAATACCCCAAAAGAGAGGACTCCATTGCCATGAGTCGGCATTGATGGATGCGGCTGCAAGTACTCTGTCATGGCGTTGCACGCTGATATTCTAACCGGGCTCATGCATGCGACTGCGATATGCATGCGACGCTCCTTCACTTGACGATCTCCGTTGCTGCTATTTGCGCCTATGAAAGTGGCCGAGAAATCGAATGAGGAAGGAAGCGCTCGCTGTGAATAAAAATAACAAACTTGTTCGATCTTACAAAAGACCCGCTGTGAACCAGGACGAATACCCACAGAGTATCCCAGTACGTCAGATATAGCAGGTTTTAAATAGATGATCGTTTTTCTTCGTTTCTTGACGGGAGGATGGATGGGTTTGGTTTGGACTGCCGTTTAAGAGGGAAGGTTGTTTGATCCGCCTGCTCTTTTACGCACGGGGCAGCCAAATGCTATACGAGGAGTTGGCGGGATGAGTTATGTATCATCTTAATCGCTACAACCTCTCTTTTTTAGGCTATTTATTTCGAGCCAAGCTGAGACGAGCCATTCTCATAGAGACCGGACTATGAAAGAACAGTTTGTTCATAGCTGACAAGGATACTTTCCGTATCCCGAAAGTCGCGTCAGCAAGCTGCCTTGCTCTTACTGGTCTAGGATATGTATTGATTCAAGATGCGTAAGCGTAGACGCGAGACCTGATGGTGCGTGAGAACAAGGCGTTTTCTTGGTGACGTGTTCTACCTGAATGAGGAGAAGATGAAATGCAGCCCTATGACTGGCGACGCTGTGCACCCCCATCATGCATGACCGCGAAGGCCTTTGGCGAAAAGTGGCTTGAGGTAACAGCTTGGAGACGAATTGATGGGAAGCCAAGGGACGCACCTGAGAGGTGGTTGTGCAACGTTTCGTGGGAAGGCACGTGGAGGATACACTCACAGGCCGGTTGGTTCGTATTACAAAGTCAGATGGCCAGCAAGGGTCCATGTCCGCAGCGGGCGTTTCTAGGTGTGTGGAAGCAGGGGTTTGCTGATGCTGGGGCAACGCTGCCCTATTCCCGTACCTGGTTGAATGCGGGCATTCGGATGGTCCCTGTTCAACACTCTGGATGAGGAAGTTCTGTGTATTGTTAGCAAAGAACTTACGAATAGAATACGGGGTTACTAGTAACATGCTGTTTGGCATTATCATTCGACTTGCTGTTACTAAAGGAGGTCGAAGACGGATTAGAGCATTCCAGTTCGTACTCCGATATTACGTAGGTATGCCCAGCCGCCAAGGCTTGGGGCTTATAATAACACCTTGCTTAGACAGTTGATCTTCTTGTAACCCACTGCGATATGCGCGATAGGAATGCGGAAGGAGGTCAGGTATCGAGTCCCTGGGTTAGGATGAGTAATTCGATGCCTCACCCGGCTCACTCAATAATCCTTCTTTACTGTAGACATAGTGCCGATGAGGTAGTTCCTAATTCGCGAGCAATTGATGATTTGGGTTTAATCCAGGCACAAGTGGATGGGCGGAGAGAAAAAAGGGACGGGCGCCCGCCATTCCCCGCGGGTTCTAGAGTCATGGGCCTGTGACATCCAAGTAGGCATCATCACACGCTTCCTTTCCTGCCTAAGCTAGAGACTCTCGTATGAGTCCCTTGGCTGTCCTTGGCTTGCTTGGCCTGCCTGTAGACCGCTCGTGGTTCTTTTTCGTCTCATTTGAGTATTAGGCGCTATCGTGCGTGTCCGAAGGGTAGGTGGCAGTCAATGTCATGCAGGCGACGCATCGACATGGACTCAAGAAGGATGAAGAGGCAGAGGGAAATGACGTTCTGATAACGGAGGGGCAACAAGGGCCGGAGGTCCTGATTAGGCTCTTTAAGGCCAAGCGTTTGATATATTGGTGGGAAGGTGGAGAGATAGCGACGGAGCTAGACAAGGAGGGGGCGTGCGGTTGTCGGATTGGTGCGCTGAAAGAAGGCCTGCCTCGGTGCCTGGTCGTGATAAGCAGCTAGCCAAGCCCACCACTCACTCGATAGTGGCTATTTTGGTGGTCGTGCGCCCACAAGGCTAAGGCTAAGGGATAGAAAATACGAATCTCATCTGTCAGGTGCTGGTATTAGCTCCGCTTGATCTAATCCAGACATGCCTCAAAGGCCGGTCAGTCAGTCATGACCAACTCGGATGGGTTCTTGAAGTTCGTATTTGCTCAGTTGATTGAGGGAAAAATACGGCAGAGATGAAAAATCTTTCGATTCCATCAGGCAGGAGGCAAATAGGCATCGGCGGACAGTGCTGCGAACATTGATGTCTAGCTATGCTGATCAGCCAATCCGTTGTTTCACGAAAAGCACTTCAGCGTCTCGCTGCTTGGGCAAGTGATCCGGTGGTGGTGCACACATGCACACGCCCAAGAGGGTCTTCGGTGATCGACGACGTCCATCTCATACCCCAGGTCTACATGCACCGTGGTTGCACGGATGTGGTTACATACTGTGCGCAAGCTGGACCCTTTTGGTGCTTGTACGGAGAACAGTGCATGCTTGGAGATCCTATTTCTCACCGAGGGGCTTGATATATTTCTGTTCCTCAAACCTGGGCCTGTTTGAGCCATGGATCCTTGTGATTCAGATGCGCTCAACGCTGACATCCGTATCGCGGGCCATCCTGCTCGTCTTTTAGAGTCTGAGCGTTTGCCGTTGGAGGGGCTTCTGCTGTTGGGCATGTGCGCTAGATGGACAAGGGCATTGCCGTTCCCTCTACGCTCTGAAGCGGAAGGCCTTGACCCTGGCTCGGTGCAGCGACCATTGGGCACGGTGCCGCAAAGGTATCTAGGGCGGCGACATCATCCGACCGAACTAAGTGGAGAGCAGGGACTTGTTGCTCGCTCGATACGGTCATCGCAATGCTTGGATACGAAGACAGATCAATTGGCAAATTGGCACTGCTGGAGGCGATAGTGAGTGCTCTGTAACAGCACGAGGCAACGGAGCTCGCAAAGACCTTCACGGCGGGCGAAGATGCGCTCGTCGAAACGGTTTCTCACCGGCTGGAGCGGAGGTCTTTGGCGACGAGAAAAGACATGCCGCTTTGGGGAATAATGTGATTCAGAAAAGAACGGCGGAGGAGGCAGTACCTTGTCTCGGCGGCAGGCGATCTGGGACCCTGCGGAATACAGGATGGGTGCGGCCATCAAGAACTGGAGAGAGGCAGGTACCTGCTGAGGGCTCCTGCCACTGCGACGTAGTAGCGAGAACAATATGGAAGGTACCTACGATTACGCCAGCGGGGGAAGCTGGGTCCCCAGCCGATGGTCGCCAATCAGGCCAGCATCGCAGCACAGTCGTGCATGCGAGCACAGGCTTGACAGGCAGCCAGGAACTGCGTGACGGGGTTCCTGCACAGTGGTCTGGGACTATGCAGAGCACAATCAAACAATTGGGATGACGGCGGCTTTCCAGGGAGCCACACCGCACACCTCCGCTTACTACACACCCACACCCCCCCAGTGGGCCTCAGCTGTTAACCATCCAGCGCCACGCGGGTCACTATCGTTCTTCGATGTCCGCTTGCTCACTCGTCTCCTAGCCGGGGCCACTCGCTAGCGACGAGTGGCTCCTCGTGTCTCTGGCTCCGTTTTCCCTTCCAATCTTTCTTTGTTGTTGTCCAGTTTTACCTGAGGTATCTCTGAATGATCCTAGCTCTTCGTTAGATCTGGAGCCCGCGGTCTCCATCCCTGGTGGCTTCTGCTTGCCTTGCCTGCCCTGCCCTGCCCCTGCTGGTCCACCAGTCCATCTGAAGTATTAATATATTAAGCACCTCTTCCTAGTCCTCCCCGCGGTTGTTCCCATCTTGCTCCTACCTCATCCACCTCCAGCACATTTCGAACTTGTTCATCAAGACCTCGAAGCGCATATCAGTCACCATGTTCACCAATACTTTCGTTAAGGCTGTTGTAGCCCTCGCTGCTGCCAACCTGGTGTCCGCCCAGACCTTCACTGACTGCAACCCGTTGGAGAAGAGTATGTCCACCTGCTAATCTGAGCCTCATGTTCATGTTCCGCGAGCAATCAGGCTATGCCCTAGCCCGTTTATCCCCAATTGGTGTGGT